GCCCTGTGGGGGCGGGTGGTGCCCGGGGCGCCTGCCGCGGTTTTCCAAGGGGAGCGGTCCTTAGGGGGTTCCCAGTTTCGGGGCAGGTGCGCACCAGCCAGCCCTCCTGGAGGTCCCTGAGCCCAGGCATCTCTCTGTTTGTACTGTTGATGTGAAATGTGCTGTAAGCTTGACGGAGTTGTTGTTCCATGCATTGAGTTACCCACTTGAATGTTACCAGGGTCTAGCGCAAGGATCTCCTGCCTTTTAAGACTAACGATTTTTATTGTCTCTTTAATTGATGTAACGGTCTCCTCAGTCCCACAGGAAACTTGCCCTGTATTGAAGCCCCAAATGGCCTTATCTGTGGGACACTCGAGTCCCCGGTCATGGTGTCCTTGTGTGCTGACTTTAGACTTTCATTAGAGCCCTTCTGGGTTTAGGTATTTGTTTTTTTTAAGTAACTATTTACACTTCTTTCTTAAGCTTCAAGGAAGCTTCTCCTTCATGCCTCTGAGCTTGTATTTAACCTGCTCTTGTTTCTTCATGCTTTTTAATGAACCCTTTTGGAGCAGCCTCATCGTGGCTGTGGTGGGAGCTGTTGCCAGCATAAAGCTCTTGTTGATTTTGTATGTCCCGTGAAACTTGAAGACTATATACATTTTTCTTTTTTTATGGGTAGGCATAAGTGGAGGAAGGTGCTCTGGATTGCAGCAACCTTTAAGGTAGATCAAAGCGTTGGCTGCAGCCGCTCGCCTCTGCCCTGGACGTGTTGCAGTGGGACTGGGTTGCTGGTGCCCACGCGGAGGCACGCAGTGGGAACTTGGCTAGACATAGGAGCATGCCTCGTTCGTTCTGCGCTGGCGTTAGAGTCCTTGTGTTTAAGATGTTGCAGATCATGCTTGTGCACGTGCCTGGTGTGGCACGCGTTTCCCTGGGAACTTCTCCTGTTGCCCCTCGTCGCTGGGAGCAGATGCGGGCGCCCGGCGGCAGGCTTGCTGCAGCCTCGCGCCGGGGCTCTCGTGCTGTCTTGCTGCCGTCAGTGTCTCGTGCCTCCTTTGCCTCCTTTACCGGGAAGGTGAACTCTTGAAGCCATAGCAGAAAACCTGAAAAGGAGGGAGACGTTCTGCTTTGATGGGCTTCTTTGACTCATAGTTAGGAGCCAAGGCAGCTAGAGGCAGATATTGGAATTCAATTAAGGTAAACGAGCGAGGCCTGTGACCCCCATTTTCAAGGTAATTGCTTCCTTGGATCGGAGCTAACGCAAGTGTCGTCCCATCATTAAGCAGCCAGCCATTTAATCGTTTTGCCTGACGAACTTTCACAAGGCAGGAATTATGGGCAGCAGAGGAGAGCGTTGAGCTGTGGGGCCGCGCTTGGCTGCACGCTCGCAGCGAACCCGCAGTTAATCCAGGCAAGCGCTGCTGCGGGGCTGGGGAGAGGGGAGGGCTTGGTTTTTTTTTTTTTTTTAATTTT